ATACATTATTTTTTTTAGAGTTGAACACTACTTTAAATGACTAAAATGTTCATTGTTTTTATTTACAATCTCGTATAAAATCAGCTTGAATAAAAACACACAAAAATTATAAACAAAAATCACACCTAAGTACCAAATAGATACACAGTTTCTGAGACAAGTGTCACATATACTGCCACCATCTCACAAGATTAGGGCTGTTGGCTTACATGGTGGTGTATATACTGTATCCATCTATGGATGGTTAAAGGCAGTTGTATGGGAATATACCTAATTATAAGTATTTGGTACCTAGATGTGGTCTTATATGTGAAGTGTAAATAGAAGTTAACATTTTAGTCATTTAATGTTTACACCTTAGAAATGCTCTGCCTCTTTGTAAACTACCTTAACAAGGTACTCTGCAGTACTGGTGAAAGAGAACCCCCCCCTTGAATGCATTAAAGGACAACTATGAGGTGAGTGAAAATGAAACTGTCACACGTCAGCTCAGTAGATCGGGAAGTGAGCGAACACATACCGTCGCTCGCTGACATCCCTATCATCTCCCTGCAGAGCCGTGACTGTCACTCATGGCTCCCTGTAGGGATTCCCCTGTCCGATCCTCCAGCGCTGACTGGCGGAACAGACGGGGGAGGGTGCAGCTGGCTCTGCCTCTAGATGGGCAGAGCCAGCTGTCACTCACGCAGCTGGGTGGATCTCGACAGTAATGTCGGGATCCGTCCTGGCTGCGGCGGTCTCAGTATACCGCGAGCTGTAGCTAGCGGTATACTGAGCTTTGGGTGACGGGAGAATGCTAGTTTGTGTCCTCCCGTGACCCTGGGGAGAACTATGGGGAAAAACACTTACCCCATCGTTCTCCTTCAAGGGCAGCTCTATCATAAACTACTATATTTGGTGTGAGCAAGCTAACGTGCTCCAAGCTCGCTCCTGTGATGGACTACAATCTCATGTTTCGTTCACTAATTTGTATTGAGATTGTAGTCCATCATGGGAGTAATCTTGGAGCGGTAGCTACTTTACAACACACACAGGGACCATGGGGAACAAAAGTAGCCCCCCCTCCAGAAGGAAGGACAGTGTCGGCACCAATTCAGAGATGATTGGAGGATCTACAGCCGAGTGATACACAAATAAGATACATTTCTGTTATTAGTTAGGGTCCTTGAATTCTTTAGGGTTTAACTCCTGAGTTCAGTGCCACTTTAAGCCTCAATATACCCAGATGTTGAAGATCTACTCATATAAGTTGATGGGGCTCAGCAGTGAGCACCATTATTTCCACCCTTGTGAGTCTCACAATAGAAGTGCAGGCCAGTCAGGGAACTATGGGCCTTGTTATTGAGAAGTGGATAATCTATATACACGATAATGCTAATATGTGAACAATTTTCTTGCCAGATTTGTCACATTGTATCCAGGAGACGTATTTCTAACAGGGACACCCCCTGGAGTTGGTGTATTCAGAAAGCCTCCAGTATACCTAAAGGTGAGTCAGAATGTTTGAATTGGCTATATAGGGACCAGAATCTAGAAAAGTATACATACAAATGCTGCGTACAGGCGCTCTCCACAAGGTGCCTGTTATCTTTACTTACCTGAATCCTAACCCAATCCAATAGAGGCAGGAGCCGTTTTACCATTAGGAACATCAGGCTTGTGCCTACAGGCAGCAGTGGTAGAGAAGCTGCCACTTTTCTATACGTTTATGACTGCAAATTATTATCCATTATCATCACGTACAATGTCACAATTTATAAATCAGGAGAGGCCTAGTAAAAGAAGAAAATTCTCTGTACAGAGGTCATTCTAGCAGAGGAGTGTGCCTTTGGATGCCACAAGTTGTGTACAAGATTTAGTCAAAATTGGGCCCCGACAATACTACTTAAATCAGAACTCCTTGCAGAATTGTTCTTAACTCTTAGGGGGGAAATTATCAAAACTGGAGCAGAGAGAATCTGGAGCAGTTGCCCATGGCAACCAATCAGCATCTCTCTACAGTTTGCTCAGGTGAGATTTGAAAATGAGAGAGAGATGCTGATTGGCTGCAGTGTAAATCTGCTACAGTTTTTGTCTGCTCCAGTTTTGATAAATCCCCCCCTTAGGGTTAGTTCACACCATATGCAGTTGTGATGCAGTCCGTTTAGCCAAAATACATCACAATGCTTTCCTATGGGCTTACTCGTGCTGTATTCACACCATTGCAGTCCGTTCAGATGCAGTCAGAAAAAGTACTGCTTGTCCTATTTTAGCTGCATCTAACTGCACTGGAACGCATCAAAAAGCATGCAAACGCATCAAAACAGACCAGAACGCATTTAAAAAGTGTTTTTTGTGTAGGTGCTAAAAAAAAAAAAAAAAAAAAAAAGTTATACTCACCTGATCCTCCAAGCCGGCTTGCTCTTAGTCCGTTCCCTGGAACCTCTCTCCCCCTCTATTGCAGCGGTCTAAGGTCTTAGAATGTGATGATTTATGTCTAGACGTGAAGATGCTGCAGTATAGGAGGAGAGAGGCTTCAGTGACCGGAGAAGCAGACATCCGGCTCAGCGGTTCGGGTGAGTATAACTTTTTCTTTTTCAGCTCCTAGACAAAAATAAGCATTTAACCCTTGCAGAGCAGGGGTAGCCCCTACAAGAGATAAAGCAGGCCTTTTTTTTTACTAGAAATCACCTCAGCATGGAGGTCTGCATGCCGATATGAAATCATCTTACATTCATTAGTTAAATATTTTTTTTTTTTTTACTTAAACAATTTATTTTTTTCCTGGTCCATTGTGGCACAACTGATGTAATGTGCCCAGGAAGGTTACATCAGCAGAGCATTGCTGGGAAATCTCATCTGTAGTCTCATGAGATCTCGGGGAAAGGCATTTTCCTCCCCTGAGATGGTGTATGGTCATATACATATACAGTAAAAATAGCCACCATGAGAAGAATGAGTAGGAAGAGAAATATAAGGAATACAAAGCCGGCAATTATCTAGAGGTATGTGTTTGTAGATTGACCTTACTGAACATTTCTAAAGGTACCTTTGTTTTTATTTTGGAAATATGGGTAAAGTTCCTTCTGCCCAGAGTTCTTCTTTAAAATATGTCTTGTCTTGTTGGGAAGGGTTCGAACCTGTTTTTACTACAGTCTGCCATTCACACATTGTTGACACCATGGTTCTATTTCACTTCCTGTTATGTCTCCAGGGCAGGAAGGAAAGAAAGCTCCCCAGTGGGACACAGACATTAGAAAACTCACAGGGGTTTTATCCATTCAATACTTGGAAAACATTTTTTTAGGTATATAACCTGATTAAAACTACCTTTCCATTTCAATTTGCAGCTGTCAGATTTTCTACTATTTCCAAAAATGTCTGTGGTGTTTTTACTTGTTCACTTCTTCTCCCAGCAATTATTACACTGGGACTGCTCCAGGGCTCCAACTAACTGATAAGAAAAGTTGTCAACTATTTTCATTATGGATTAGTTTGTTCGGTCCCCTAGCTCTCTACTCCATGCTGGGAGGAGGGCACAGCAAGCAGTGGGCGAGTGCAATTTGAAATGGCCAATAGCAGGCTGGCTATTGCACCCGCCCACTACCTGCTGTATTTACAATCATCTGCCGTCTGCGGAATCTTGATGCTGGCACCAGTCATTCCCTCGCTGAAGCTATTCAAGCGCCGTGTGCTTACAATACAATTATTTAAAACATTACTGTTTTGGCCTGACAAGTTCTGCTGTGGGAGGTGCGTTGCAGTGCCATTCATTTCAATGGCACCCCAAAATGCACCTCCCACCCAGTGTGATCGCCTGCACCATACCGTGCGTTCCATTGCAGTGCAATTGCACAAAATTGTGCATGCAGTTTTATTCTGATGTAAACTTTATATTTAACACTGCATTTGTGTATTTTATTTTAAAGGATGGTATTTAGTTAATTTTTTTATCCGATTAATCAAAAATAATTATTGCCAGCATATAAAAGGGTTATTTAAACTACCAGGGACCCGGTGTCACTTGCTGGCTTTGGCATAGGAATGAATGGAGAATCCAACCAGATTTTCAAGACCACATTTCTCAGCATGCAGTCTAAGGCAGCCTTTCTCAACCAGAGTGCCATGGCATCCTGGGGTGCCTTGAAAGTTTCACACAGCGTCATGCCTTTCCTGGCTGGCTGCCAACACCATGGAAATGAATAACGCTAATCCAGGGGGTGGGATCCATTCAGAAAAGGACGGAGGTTCATCTCCCTCGAGGTGTGCTACACCTCCCACTCTCTGCCATGTTGACTCCTGATTAAGGGACTGAGGACTCAGATGTGAAAGGGAGACTTTTATATGAAGTAAAGGGGGCTCCCCACTTTTTGTTTTTGCATGGGGGTCCCCCTTTAAAATCCATATCAAACCCACAATCTCAGACAAGTGTCTGGTATCAATTTTGTAGAGACTACACATAATGTTTTACATTTTAGACTGGGGTGCCTCAAGATTTTGCATACTTCAAAAGGGTGCCATGACTGAAAAAAGGTTGAGAAACACTGGTCAAAGTAACGGAGGGGATAAGCCTGCACCTCCAGGAACAAAGTCCCCAAAAGGACAACAGGCTCTTGTGTAATTGCCCAATGGTCCAACCCAGTCTGAAGAGCTGACACCCAAAAATAAGCACACACATTTTCAAGCCTTGTATTGCTGTTTCTTTTGTTTTCCAGGCCGGAGATGTGGTTGAGTGTGAAATCGATGAACTGGGAGTGATCAGAAACCCTGTGATGTGAAAACTGGTACATTACATAAGAGGAAACGGGCACTGTGGTGTAGAAGACTCAGGTTTAATAATAAACAATCTTTCTGCTGTGACAAATGTCTGCAAGGTCATAAACCAGTCCTACAGATTATTGTCTAACAGACCACATTTTACCTGTCAATAGGTTCAAATCAAACAATCCAACAAACTGCACACATTTTAGCAAGACAAAAATCAACAAAATAAATACAACTTTCTCAAGTTTGTAAATAAAGCAAATAATTAGTGTTTGAACAAAGTCCAACCATCTGGTGAAGTGTGATTCCCTCGGGTATCTACATTTTGTTCTAGTATTTCTTCGTATGGGAGGGGTTTATACCTTTCATCGCTTGTATATAAACTGCTGGATGAAGGATACAAGTCTGCTGCAGTTTTCCTTCAGAAGGAAGGCATCTGAGAGGTGAAGTGTTGATCCATGACTGCTCGGGGAACACTGAAAGACCTGCAGAGTCACACAGAATGGAGCACAAACTGCTGTTATTATTCTGGACATGCAACAACTGTATAATTTACTATATAGTCAACGTGAGGCTATTCCTATTATTATTATACATGGCAAACAGTTCAGCACACAGCAAGTTAGGAAGCTGTACACAGATGTCTAAAGCTGGGTATACATGGTTAGAATTTAGTTTTTGGTCATTTTTGTAAAGCTTTATTCAATTCTTCAATAATAACCAAATCTCGAAATACTCTTATCGGACTTTTCAGTTACCAACCCACACAAAGTGCATTGTGTAAAAACAACTGATCTTTATTACAAATCAATATGATTCCACAAAATCAATACTTCATAAAAACCATACAAAACATGGTCATGTCTGTTATCAACCATCCGGTGCACATCTAGATGTATCATTCTTATCCCATATGAGTATTATTGTACACATCCAAATATTTGTTACATTGTCACATACACTGAATACCACAAATATTCTCAGATGGGATATGCGGTTATGTATTTCCAGATTTGGTTACTAATGATTTTTAAGGATGTGGTACCCCCCACTATCCCATAACTAGTATACAATAGGTTACATTCAATTCTCCAATGGTTGATGGGGTCAGATAGACAATCTTTTTCGACTGAAGTGACCAAACAAAAAAATCAAAGTAGCAGGATGGAACATTGCGAATGTGGTTTTTGTTCAGGAAATGCCATTCATTCCAAAATTGAATGTTAAAACCAAACAAAATTTCAAGTGACATTGGTCAAGTCTCTGTTGCCATTACTGAATGTCCTGACCAGACTTTTCACGTGTTCGTACGAAATTCTAAGTTGCCTTTATTGTATTAGTACACTGGGTGGCCTAACATAATGAATGGAACCGCAGTTCATATTGTAACGTAGAGGTGAAACATACACACCGACGTAACACATCAGTGTGACTGGGCCCTCATCCACTGTTCATGTTTGGTACCGTGTGATCCAGGGGTAGGCAACATCAGCACTCCAGCTGTGGTGAAACGACACATCTGCCTCTGGGGGTCATGCCTGTAACCGTCAGTCTTGCAATGTCTCATGGTACTTGTAGTTCCACACAGGGGCATCCTGAGGCCGGGTGTCACCTGGAGCGGAGCCCTGGTTACAGTCATCGCACATGCGTGTGACGTCACCACGTGCGGTCATCTCATCGATGCCTGCTGGCGGCTATCTTGGTGATGGACGCTGACAGAGAGAGGAGGGGACGTTCACCCGGCAGGATGAGGTATGCCCCCGGGTCCCCTCCTCTCTCCTGACACTGTCGGGCTCTCAGTCCATGACCGAGTGCCTGACTTTTTAGAGGTCGGCACCCTCTAAAACCCGGGTGACACCCCTCCAATGGTGTCATCCGGGTGCAGGCTGCACCCGTTTCCACAACAGCTGGAGTTACAATGAACTCATCACCATATACAACCAGTGCAGAGTCACTATGTGCTGTGTAGTTGTCATGCCTGTGTACCCTCTCCCGAAATGTTAAAGTTGCAGTTCTGTACTACTGTAATGACTAGGATCTGCCTGGAAGTGTATAGGTATTGTCTTAAATATCAAGGCAGTTTGTAAATGGGGGGAAAAAAAAAGAAGTTGCCCACGGCAACCAAACATTATTATTTATAATTACTCTTTGGTAAATTAAACAAAGCATCCGAACCGTCACCATACCATGGGCACCTTTTACATTGTTTATTATATAAATTGCCCCCAACATGTCTGGTACTGTGGACAACTACCCCTTAAATAACTACTGTAGACAGTGGAGGTATTACAATCTGTGACCACATACCCCAAGATCTTTGAAGGTTTGAACAGCGCAGACAGCCAGAGAACGATCTGTACATTCTGAAAGAGAAGACTGAATGAGTGCGCCTGACAAAAACCTCCTATAGTGCACACTATGATATAATTAGCTGTCAGAATGAACTCTGTCCTGGAATAATGCCATCAGAAGTGTGAAGCTGACCACCATATTCTGGGAGAAATGTACCTTTAGATCTAAACTCTGGCCACAAAAACCTTTATTTAAATGTATTGTTACAGCCTCAAAGGATATAAATCCATTTTGTGTGCAACAAATGCTTTTGCAAAGCCAGATATCACCTTATATAAGTAGTAGTGACATCATCAATGTGCTGCACACAACCTGTACAGAGAGCAGAGCAGTGGGAGGGACCCAGCAGACTCCACCAACCACAGACTACAAGCAGAAAACTTCAGGAGGGGGCAGATAAAAGACCAGTCACCCTGCACATGGAAAGGGTGCAGCACTGACCGGTCTTTATTACAGGAAGCTCCAAGTTGCACTCTGGATTACAGCACAGATCTGGAATACACAACGCTCAGATTACAGTAAGAATACATGTGACTTGCACTTGGAAAATGTTTGCCTATCGCAGCAATCAGCATTGAAGTGTGTCTATATTTGTTTTACAGCAAGAAAGGTGCAGAGCCTCTGTTAGGGTTCTATTGCCGTCTATATTGATGTCCTAGTAACCACTTGATGACAACTCAGTTGTCATCGTACTTGGAAAGGGGAAATCATCCAGTGGAGACAATTTTCCAGACGGAGGGTTACCACAATGACATGGCACGATTCTGGGCCTATAACATGAGTTGTGCTAACTGAGGCATTGCAAGTTACCCCTAATGTGGAGTGGGGGCCCGGCCAGGAAATGATATGGCATATCTACATTATATTTGACCATTTAACGTGACACTCAACTCAGGAGCTAAACCTTAAAAATACATTCAAGTACCTTTAAAGGAGAACTATGAGGTGAGTGCTCTTCACTCACCTCATAGTTTTAGCCGACCTGTGACAATGAGACTGTCCCAGATCGGCTCAGTAGATCGAGAAGTGAGCGAACACATACCGGCGTTCGCTCACCTCTCGATCCTGTCACGGCTCTCTGCCGTGACAGGGGAGGGACTGGATTCCCCCCTCACCGCTCCTATCCTCCAGCGCTGACAGGTGGAACGGGCGGGTACAGCTGGCTCTGCCTCTAGATAGGCAGAGCCAGCTGTCACTCACGCAGCTGGGCGGATCCAGACATAATTGTCGGGATTTGTTTCAGCTGCGGCGTCTCAGTATACCGCGAGTTGTTGCTTGCGGTATACTGAGCTTAGGGTGAGAGGAGGACGCTAGTTTGTGTCCTCCCGTTACCCTAATGAGAACTATGGGGAAAAACACTGACCCCATAGTTCTCCTTTAACTATTAACAATGTATCTTATTTGTGTATCACTCGGCTGTAGATCCTCCAATCATATCTGAATTGGTGTTGACCCTGTTCTTCCTTCTGGAGGGGGGGCTACTTTTGGTCCCCGTGTGTGTGTTGTAAAGTAGTCACCACTCCAAGCTCTATCCTGTCATGGACTACAATCTCATGTTTAGTTTACACATTTGTAGAGATTGTAGTCCATCACAGGAGTGAGCATGGAGCGCTGACTACTTTACAACACACACAGGGACCATGGGGAACAAAAGTAGCCACCCTCCAGAAGGAAGGACAGTGTCAGCACCAATTCAGAGATGATTTGAGGATCTACAGCCGAGTGATACACAAATAAGATACATTTCTGTTAATATTTAAAAGGTACTTGAATGTATTTTTAAGACTATTATCGCTACGTGCTCCCGCGGCGAGAGTCCGGAACTGTTTGTGCGGCTGCAAAGGATCTTGGGGCGGGCGCATGCGCAGTTCATATTCTCGGCCGGGAGACGAGCAGAGACGCAAGGTAAGTCTATGGACGCATCAGTCAGCGCTGGATCGGAGAGACGCCGCACCGCTGGAGGGACAGATGAAAACATCAGGAAAGAAGAAGATCGGATTAAGAGACATCATTTAAGGTAAGTGCTGACATTAACATGGGGGGGAGGGAAAATTTTTTTATCCTTTAATGTCACTTTAACTTCTGAATTTAGTGTCACTTTAAATTTTTCTGCTAGTTCCAGGATACGGATTGAATAAACATTATGCACAAGAGCAATCCTTGCAATGATTCCATGAAACAGGAACCACAGCCATTTGAATGGACTGGGGCTGGACCAAGGAAAGAGGAAACCTTGCCTACAGCATCTAGTTCCACGTTATATTTCTGAATGAAAACATTTAAAAACCACAAATATCTATTCATAAGCAATTCATCTAATATACGTTGTGAGTAAAGAGCTTGTTTGTATATTGGGTATCTCCTAAACATTCAGGCTTTGGATATCCAAGACAGTAAAATGTTAAGCACAAAGCAAGTACATAGAAGCATTTTAATTTATTGGTTTATAAAAATTAAAAAATATATATAAAAATAAGGGTACACATAAAAAAAAAATTAAAAGCCTGCAACTTTAAGGACATAACCCATCACACCTCACACCTGCCATTTGTAGCAATAAGTATGAAAGGAAATGAGGGGAAGGAGCGGTCTCCCTCAATGGACTCTGAGAAAAGGATTTTACGGTAAGAACAAAATCCTATTTTCTCTATCGTCCATTGAGGGACACAGCGTAAAAACTAGATGAGCAAGCTCATATACTCAAACAGCCACTTGGAGACCTTTTCTGTCAAAACTAGCCTAAAAAAAAGAAGAAAAAAAAGTCAGAATCGTCAACTTTATAAAACTTAGGAAAAGTGTGAACAGAAGACCAAGTTGTGGCCTTGCAATTTGAGCAACAGAAGGAGACAGTCTGAAAAGCTTAAGAAATACTAACTGCACTAGTAGAATGAACAGAAACCAGATAAGAAGGAACCTTATCCTGCAAATCATGAGCTCGAATGACAACTTGACTAATCCACTTATAAATGGAGGATCTAGGAGGATGAACAACCTTTCCAGGGCCTCCTGGTAGAACAGAAAGAATCAGAATGCCCAAATGCTGCTCACACAACATCCAAACAATGAAGAAAAATGTCCAGGAGCTGGACAATGTGAAGGTAAAACAATGCCTTCAGTTAAATGAAAGTACAAAACCACCTTGGGTATAAAGGAAACCTGTGGTCATAAAACAACCTTTTCCTTATGAAGAACCAAATAGGGTTCTCCACGAAACAGCAGACAAGTCGGAAACTCTTCAAAAAGGACAAAACCACCTTAGGTAAAAAGGAAAGCTGCGGCCATAAAACAAAGCAGACAACTTGGAAACCCTGCTAGCCAAGGTAATGGAAACAAGAAAAGCAACCTTTATGAGTAACAAAGAAATGTCTCAGGGTCAAAAGGAGTTTTTTGTAGAACGGAAAAAACTTTAAAAGGAGAATTATGGGAAGAGTGAAATACACTCTTCCTCATGATTAGAGCTGATGTGCGACACTGAAGCCATCACACGTCGGCTCTATAGATCTGGAAATGGGCAATCACATGCCGTTGATTGCTCATTTCCTGATCCTCTCCCTGCAGAGAGAGCTGTGACTGTCAGTAACCACTCCCTGCAGGGATTCCACCCTCCCCTCTCTGTTGCTCCAGCGCTGACTGGCGGGACGAACAGGGGAGGGGGCAGGCACGGCTGGCTCTGCCTTTAGAGAGGCAAAGCCAACTGTCAATCTGCCAGTGGGGTGGACCCTGACAATATTGTCGGGATCCATCCCGGCTACAGCACGGCTCTACGCTGTCAGCATATATCAGATAATAGCCCGCTATATGCGGAGTTTTGGGTCACGGGAGGACACAGTATGTGATCCTTAAAAGAACTATGACCAAAAGAGGTTGGGCCATAGTTTTCTTTTAACCGAGCCTTGAGTATAACTGGAATAATAGAATCTGAAATTTCTTTGTCTTTCAACACTTGGGTTTCAACAGCCAAGCCGTTGAAGCCAGCAACCAAGAAGCAGGGTGGAAGATTTGGTCCTGAGACAGCAGATCTGGAAGAAGCGAGGGATTGTCTGCCAGCAGATGAACCAAATCAGCATTCCACACCCTGCAAGGCCAATCTAGAGCAAGGAGAACTACTTAAATCCCTTTGTGTTCCATCTTGCGAAGCAGACAAGGCAATAGCATAGATATATATTAGGGTGTACTGGAAAGATATATATTAGGGTGTACTGATCCCATAGAGCTACTAAGGCATGCACAGCATCCGCGGTTGGATCCCTCGCTTTGGAAACAAAATCTGTCCACCTTCTTGTTCTGTCCAGAAGCCAGATGATCCACATCAGTTCCCCAGGGGTGACAAAGTTGTTGAAACACCTCCTAGATGGAGAGAACATTCATACAGATCCAGATGTTGTCTGCCGAGTCCACCTGCCCATTTTCTGCTACTGGAATGTGCACCGTTGAAGTTGCTGGAACCTGAAGTTCCGCCCAATCCAAGATCACATGGATGACACACTTCTGGTGCTTCTCGGGTGATTGATGTATGCCATCGCAGTAGCATTGTCTTACTGAATCCAAATCGGACACCCAGGCAGAAGATTGTTCCAGTGTAGCAACACCAGATAAATTGCCCTCAAGTCCAGGACATAGAACGGAAGCTTGAACTCCTCCGGCGAACAACCATGTCCGTCCATCATGACAATCTTCCAAGTTATGGGAAGAAACGACTTTCCCATTGTCAACGCAGGGGATGTCAAACATCACGACCAACGTCCTGACCGGGTCACTCAATCTAAACATCTTGCACAATGCTGTAAGAATGTTTCTCTGTAAAGACCTAGAATGGAACTGAGCAAAAGGTACCGCTTCAAACATTGACACCACTAATCCCAGTCATGCAGAGAAGAACGGCGACAGGATCAAAGCAACCAAGCTTGATCCCGCAACTTCAATATTTTGTTGTGATGAAGGAACACTTTTGCTTGAAGGGTATCCAACAGAAGACCCAAATACTTCAAGCGATGTGATGGAACTAGGGATGACCCACCTGAAGCCCTCTCACATCTGGAGCACTGCTTAGACATTGACCTCCAAAGTAGGAAGAGACTGTTTTCGAAGTAAAAGGTAGTCTTAATATCTGACAATTGGAATGCCCTTGCATCGGAAAAATCCCAGAACCGGAGCAAAAACTTTTGTAAAAACCCTTGGAGCTGAAGCCAACCCCAAGGGAAGACATAGAAACTGATAATGAAGTTATTACCACAAAACAAAAGAAACACTGATGACATGTAAATACGGGAATGTGTAGATACACATCCTTGATGCCTACGCAAACCAAAAAAATCTCCTCGTCTAAGAGAGGCGACAACCGACCGAATGGATTCCATCAGGAATTTGTGAATATGTACAAATGCAATGAGTGCTTTCAGATCCAGAATCGGACAAAGTCTTCCTTGGGTTTGGGAACCGTAAACAGGTTTGAGTGAAAACACTGAAAACGTTCTGCGAAAGGAAAGGGAATAGTAACACCCAGACCCAACGCTGCTGAGACGCCGCTGCAGACGTTCATACTAAAGCGGACTTTTTAACTGCCAAGGATATCTAGGGGGTCCAAAGGTTTGGAAGTGTAAGATGTTTTTTGAAACTGGGAACTAAAGAAACGTGTAAGAGACAGAAAAGAAGGAACAGGGTTACAATGCTGATCCCTATTTTTCCACAAGTGTTCACTTTACCCTCCCGTAGCTTTTTTAATAATCTAATCCAGGGTGGCATCTAGAAGACAACATCTCACATAGGGTAAATACTAAAGTCCCTTTTTGCATTGAAGTTCCACCGAGCAGTACTTAAAACAGATAGCTCTGCGTAATTGAATGGAAGAGACAGACACATGAGACAACAAGAAACACATCATATATGAAATGATAAGCAACAGTCATCTGATCCACGCAAATCAACTCCAGCAGTCACCTGTTCATCAATAGGAATAGGCACCTATATACTGTAAGTGTTACCAATGTCTGGCTGCTGTATAACTTTCATGAGTACTGCTGATCCTTACTGAGTGAAAACTCCATTGTCAGTATTCAGGCCGAGGAAAATAAACAGTTTTGTTCCCAGTAAGCCGGAGCAGAAATAAAGAGGAGAGCTCCTCTAGGTGGCCAACTTGTGAAGTACATAAAGTATAACAAGCACGGGTCACCATAGCAACACCTCAGAGCTTCTGTAAATGTATAGGCTGGAAGAATCAGAAACATCAGTGACACCAATGTAAAGCACAGATGTCCCAAGTTTCTTAATAAAACCAGTAAGACACAGTAGGAAATAAAAAAAACATTACTTTCACACAATGCCCTGCGAATGACAGACACAAAAATACTCACAGCCCTGACCAGTGTAAGGAAAAAAATTAGGTACTGCAACCACCTGCTGCACAGCAGAAGCACTGAGAAATGGCTGTGCAATAGTAAAAAAAAAAAAAGAAAAGAAAACAGGATCTCTCTGTTCTCCTTAATAAGAGACAAGAAATTGGGGACAAGTAAGAAACAAAGGAAGCAGAGTCTAAACTGCTCTATTCACCTTTACTGCTGATAGAAAACGCACTACACCGCTCTGAGGAATCCAGAAAACTTTAAATAAAAGCAGTCTAATTACATTGTGCTGTTCCTGATATAATGGGAATCCCAAGGTAATATTGGCCTGACGGTTAAATGATGAAAACGGGACCACTGGAGGAAGAAGCAAAAGTACTGAGAACAGAAACCATCTACTTTAGACAACTACAGAAAGCTAGAGAAAATTCCAGGATTTAATAATAATATGCGGTATGAAGCAGCTCTTGGTAATAGAATCTTCAGTGAAGACACACAAAAAAAAACTAAGATAATAAACCAGGAGAGAAAGAGGCATCCATTCTCCTGAGGACACTAAGCCAAACTGGCAGGTGGGAGGAGTTATGTCAAAGTGGCAGGCTTTTCATGTTTTTGCCTAGTGTCCCTTTCTCCTGGAGGCAGCACCATAACCCTACACCTCAGAATTCTTCAGCACTGTGTTCCTCAAATGGACAAAAGAGAACATAACATTTCAACACCTAGCTATGTTAGGGAAAGAAATATTTTTAGGAGGAAATTCATGATAAAAGAAATAAGTAATCTATCTTAAATAAATATATTATCTAATAAACAAAGCATGAACCTACCATAAGACCCATCCTCTTCCGCTTTCAGCAGCAGGTACTGGTGCAGTCGATCCACATATTCTGGTTCTGTCTCTGTAGAAAACATATAAAAGCTTTTGGTTTTTCGTTCTTATTGCTGCACTTCAGGTGACCCAAATGCGTCTTTAGCTGGGACATGGCAGACAGTGTCGTGGGCTTATGGGTTCAAAGTATCCTGGAAATTTCAGGTATAAAAGATGTGTTTATACCAGATCAATCTCATGTACTGTGTGTTACCCCTCCACCGATACTCCCTATATCATACCAGTTCCACTTGTTTCATGTTCCAGCAGGAATGATGCAGTCCTCTCATACGTCTGCAAAACCGGGCCCAAAAGACGACACAGGAAGACAAAGAAATTGGCATGATGGTCTGAGCGGCCCAACTAGTACAGGACAAAAAGTGGTGGGGAAAAAACCTGTTAATTCTTTCCAGGATATGTACTGCAGGAAAATGCAACAAAAAGGTGCCAGGACATGTGTACGATTTTACTGCACCTAGGTAAATACTTTAGTGTGCATGATATGTGCACAGGTTCATGTTAATCTGGGAGATATGGTTCTCTAGTACAGAACACTTAATTTTGGAAGAGGATAAAGGGGTACAGGTCTGTACACTAGGAGGGTGCTATACTTTGGTCAGCTAATATTACCACTTGCCAACACAGTACCATGTAGTGTCGCTTCACTTTTTTTTCCGTGAAGTCGCTGTCGCTGTCTGACAGGTCATCAAGAGTTCTCCACATAAGTCTGTCCGCAAAGCTTCGTCTCCCTGTGTCACAAGCTAGAGGTGCATTGGGGTCCTGAGAAAAAAGAGACGATACTGTGTCATCTGATCACCAATCTTTCTAAAGTTTGAGTTACTGTCTGCCATAAATGTGGATCTTACTTCATACATGGAGAGAAGACCGCAGTGAATCACTTTGTCCAGAATATCCTGGCACAGAAAATAGAGGCGTTGACATGGCTACAAAACAAGGGAAGACATAGTCATAGGGTATTCAGAAGTCCTTTCATTACTCTATAGAGAGAAATGGTATCATAGGCCTAAAAATAAGTCTGTAGTCAACTGCAACCATTAAAGTAGAAGTAAACTTTATTTCTCTCCCGTTCATTGAAGGACACAGGGAACAGATCGGAGATCATGTACTGCCGCCCCTAGGCTGTAATTGGTCTTTAGTTTTTTGTGCCTAGCGTCCTTCTCCTGCAGGTGGCGATATTACCCTACAGTACATGATCTCCGATCTGTTCCCTGTGTCCTTCAATGAACGGAGAGAAAAGGATTTTACGGTGAGTACCAAAATCCTATTTTTTTCTAACCCAATCTTTGTTTCATATTTGGAAAACAGAAGTGCATGCAAACCTTCAAATATGTCTCTCCTATACCATTTTCAACGGTTAAAAATTTGCTGTGCAGGTACAGTAGGAGGACTCGGCAATCCCTTTGAGTTTTACTGGCAGCAAATCCACAGAGGTCATAGACTTTCCCCCACCATAGTATAGTGGGCTGACCGAAAGAATATAACAGATTTCTTTCATCCACACTAAACAGTATGGATGTTAGACACCATTGAAGGTAGAAGACCGTTTTATTTAACTTATCTTAAATGAATTACCTGCACATAATATATAAATAAATGAAAGGAGGGGAGAGAAGAGGAAGGGAGGGGGATAGAAGGAAGAAAGGAAGGGCAATGCTGATTAGCAACGTTATTTTTTGAACACTTTAAGAACACAGAAG